GTCCTTCTGTTGCCTTTACAGCGTTCGGATACTTACAAATACAAACGAAAATGCGAGTTAAAGGAGGTAATTGAAGAGTAGCGGTAGCAATCGCAGGCACAATGACCTTATTCGCCTTGCGCATCTGGGGGTTGTTCCAATTGGCCACCGAGTGATACCCAACTCGCAATTGCACTTCCGTGAATTCGTGTTTTGCATGACGGCTACACTGCGGTAATTGCTTCAACTGATGAGCTAACCCAGATAGGGTAGCCACTTGGTTTTTTTCCTATTAATTGCGTTCATAAGTCACCCAAAACGAAGCCGAGTGACCCACTAGAAATGGACACTCACGCGTGGACGCTCATTGCTGTCGGTCTCTGGGCAGCCAATCACAGTTGCTGCAAACTCCACGGGAAAGCGTCAACCAATAGCATGCGCGCAGTCGTGGGCTGACCCCAATAAGTCTGGCCAATAACCTTCAAAGCTTACTCACAAAAGGTCTGACCGCGATGAGTGCCTACGCTCAAACATTCCGGATGCCGCCCCGCTAAGGAGGTGACTGCGCTCGTCCGAAAGTCAACTTCCTCCTGCCTATTTTCCACCTCCTTCTGTACAGAATAAACTGTTCCTAGTACTTGACGTGTCAACTTTTCTCTTTCCGCGAGGAACCGGGTCTGAAGGTCGCAGCTGCTAGGTGTTAACCTTATTAGCTTAACCTCTTGCGATAAACACTTCCAATGCCTATACCAACTCGGACACCTATAAGTACAGAGGCAGTGGCCACATGGTTAGTCAACAAAACCGTATCATCACCGATTGTGTGTATTCGAGCCCTCCAGATACCGTAAACGCACGTTAAATGGAGACCCATGTTAAGTCGGCCACAAAGCTGTCTTTCGTTCAAAAAGCCCGGACGGGTCACTGGTTCCTGATAGATGGAGAATGTACTGTCTACGTGAGTGTGAGATTGCGTCTTCGGTTAACCTACGTCGCTCCGCGTGATCGCCGAAAACCTGAGCACACATTTTGTCACGAGGATGCCTCGAAGCCCTGTCTCCAGTGCCTGCAAATCAACCCTGGAGGACCCCGTTCAAGATCGATCAGTAGGTACATTGTCTTAAAGACTGGAACAGCCATTTTTGAAGCCAAGCGGATAGTCGATGCTTAGACAAAAAAGCAAGAATATCGTGACCTCTGACTTACCTACGTATGGTTATTGCCTATTGGCAGTTGTCCTGTTGTAAATTAAATATGGACCTAGAGGGCTAAAAAGTGATAGGCACATAAAGCACTAACTGTCAGTTTGATGTTGTTGGGCATGCCGCTATTCCCATGAGTCAGCACGCACAAAGACGTCGCGAACTACCTGGCTGCCTGTCAGTCTTGTCTGCTCGATTCTTATTCGCCAATTGTCTCGGACTATCGCTGTCTCGCGCCCCCTTAAATACATTCAGCTTTTGTGTGAGAACGACTTGCGCTAACTTGCTTTGTCTGAATACACGCTGCCTCGTGCTCGCTCGTATTTTCCTGCCTCTCTCTTGCGGGCCTTGGGTACCGGTCGGCTAACTCACCGTTCATACTAATTCAAAGTACTAGGCGCGGGTCGTAA